TACACGACCACATCATGAAGCTATGTCACAGCCATTGTTGGACTGAAGCCCCAAGGGCTCAGGAGCCCAAGCAGTTGCATCTAAAGAGAACATGGTACTGTCTGAGCACAGTTTTCACCCCTTAGAAAGTGGAAATAACGGAGGAAAGCAGCCTCATCTCATTCCAGAGAGTTGCAGGCACCACAGTGCCTGGAAGAGCCATCCTATTTTCATCTGGAGACCCAGAGCTCACACTCACAGAGGCTCAGGCATCTGCCCTCAGGTCCCTCTGCAGGGCCACTCTTCTTTTTTTTTTTTTTTGAAGAGGTTTTCGCTATAGGGCGCATGCGCTCGCCAGGGAGAGAGAGATATAGAGACAGAAAACGAGAAATCACCCCCCAGAGGAGATGGTCACGCCGCAATCCCTTCTCCTCCATTCTCCTCTCGGGATCTTGGGCACGCACGCACACGCGCCCGGTGTGAGTTTTAAGCCACCGGGTCCGGGACACGAACCACAGTCGACTACGTGGGAGTCCAGCGACATAGCCATTACGCTAACTGCTGGTTCCCTGCATAGCCACTCTTTTTTACAAAACAAATGGTTGCCCTGCTATGAAACTCTCCCTGGTTTAGCCCAGTTAGCCAAGTTCTCTTACGCTACTGTAAGGAGAAGAAGAGCTCTTGTTTCATGTCAAGGCGTATAAACAGGCAACCCACATTGGATTTTGTACCGGGATCCAATTTTACCAATTACAACACTGAGGTTTCCTGACTAGCTACAATAACCAATTGGAAAACATAATGAAAGGTTGAAAACATTTTTAAACAATTTCTTGGAACAACCAGATGGCATGGAGGTTAGAGAAGCTGGATCCCACATGGTTGATGGCACAATTCAAGTCCTGGACCCAGTGGCTTGAGAAACATGCTGGGTGTGTGTGTGTGTGCCCAAAATCCTGAGAGGAGAATGAAGAAGGGGCTGAAGCATGGACAGCCCTCTGTTGGGTGCTTTCTGGCTTTCTCTCTCATTTCTGTCTCTTTCTGGCAAGCAAATATGCCTTATGGCAAACACAAAACAACAAAACAAAACAAAAAACAAACAGTACCTTTAGGATAAAGACTGATTCTGAATTCCAGAAAAGGCAAGAACATAGCCCTCTTTTTTTTTTTTTTTTAATGGGGTTGATGGAATGACCCAATAAATGCCAGAGAGTGCATGTACATATCAGAAAGAGGAAGAGAGAGAACCCTCCCACGGGACCTGGTCACACCACAATCCTTTTTCCTCTCTTTCTCCATCCTGTCAAGGTCCTGGGCATGTGTCCATGGTCAGCTATGTGGGGTCTTTTCCCCTGCCCAGCACTTAACTACAGAGCTGCTTGGCCAGCCTGCTCTCCCATCTCATCCTGGTGGAGCTGGTTTATACCTTGCTCCATCCCACAAGGTAGCTTGTGAAAACATTTTCATCAAATTCCTGTACAACGCTGGTCATATACTTTGCAGGGCCCAATGCAAAACTAAAATGCCAAGCTCCTTGGTCAAAAGTTTATTAAGAGGACCGGCAGTTGGCATAATGGCTGTGTCACTGGACTCCCATGTGGCTGACCGTAGTTCGAGTCCCGGACCCGGTGGCTTTAAACTCACACCGGGTGCATGTGCATGCTCCCCAAGATCCTGAGAGGATAATGGAGGAGAAGAGATTGCAGCATGGTCACCCTCTTGGGGGTTGATTTCTCACTTTTTGTCTGTCTGTCTCTGTCTTTCTGGTGAGCACACACACCCTGTAGCAAAAACCTCTTAAAAAAAAGTTTCTTAAGAATCTCTAGCTCACAACAGCAGAGCACTCAACCAAGTATGGGACTTTACTATGCAGGGCTTTTGTATGACTGTAGAGTGTGTGGTACTCAGCTCTCTAACCACATGTGCTCGTGATCAGGCCAGGGCCAGGATAAGAAATGACCATCTAATAACCCAGTCTAGAGGCATGTAACTCTTCCCTCTGACACATGCTTCCCCCAAAACAGTTTGTGTCAATGTGGTATGTGTGGCCTCTTTTTGTTAAAGACAGGGTCCTGCTATGTAGCTATTCTCCTCCTTCAGCCTTTAGAGTAACTGGGATTACAAGTCTGAGGTACTAACCAGTTTTACGGTAGGCCAGGAATTGAACCCAGGTCTCCCACGTAGGCAAAACCAGCTAATTAACAGCATCCAGTGCACGCTACTGCAGCTGAGCCCCAACACGTGCTGTTTATACCCATTCCCCCCCTAGATCCTTGAGACATCTTATATAAACTGCTTAAAGACAAGAAAAGTGTTCACTCCTGCCAGATTGAAATTATTTTCAGTCTTCAAATGAGATTTCTATTTTTTTTTTCAGCTTCTACCCATTAAGGTTTATAAAATCTTAGTGTCTGAAGTTTAGCCTGGCTCTAAACTGGAGTCCCTAAAATCCAAGGACATCAATGAGAAACATCTATTTTAGCTCAGTTTTGCCATTGAGAAAGCACATAAATTAGTGCACTGTTGTGTGTGAGCTTTTAGTTGATTCTCGTAGGTTTCCAGGTGAGTAACCCAATCATTGCAAATGTCATTAGCTCTCTCTTTTTGATCTGTTATACCTCATTCTGTTTTTTGCCTTTTCACATTTACCATAACACAGTTCCATTTCAAATTGGCTGCTAATTAAATAAATGTTAATGTTTTGCAGGAAACTTGAAAGTGAAATAATAAAGTTCATCTGGGAAAACAAAAAGCAAGAGCAAGAAAGCAAATGAAGAAAAAGGAGGGACTTGCCTTGCCAGATATAAATATATCCTATAAAACCATAGTAGTTAAAACAGTGACACAAATCCTGGCACAAAGAGGTCTTTGGAAGAAATAGGAGGTCCAGGGGCCAGCAGGTGGCATGGTGGTTAAGAGTGCTAGACTCCCACATGGCCAACTGTGGGGTGAGTCCTGGACCCAGCAGCTTATATGTATCATTTTCCCTCTTTCTCTTTCTCTCTCACTCTGTTCCCCTCTGATCAAATAAAAAGAGAGGAAGGAAGTTATATTAAAAAAAAAGAAAGAGAAGATCCAAACAGACTAAATTGGTACCTATGTAATAGATGAGAATGGCATTTTGAATCAACAGAAAAGTGAGAGATTATTTCTTGAATGGTATTTCAGTGTGTGTGTGTGTGTGTGTGTGTGTGTGTGCAAGATCGCTAGAGGATAACAAAGAAGGGATTGCAGAGTGGCCATCCCCTCCACAAGGGGGTGATTTCTCACTTTCCCTCTTCCTCTGTCTCTGTCTGATAAGCACACATGCCCTACGGCAAAACAAACTTTTAGTTTCGGCATAAGGTGCATACACTCAGTGGTGAGAGACAGAGAGGGGGAGGAAGAGAGAGAGAAAGTGAGAAATCACTTTCCTCAGGAGAAATGGCCATGAGCCAATTCCTTCTCCTCCAGTCTCCTCTTGGGATTTTAGACACAGGCATGTTTCCAGGACACCCTGTTTGGGACTCGAACTGTGCAGTCACCCATGTGGGATCCAGTACCTTAACCACCATGCCACTTGCTGGCTGCCCTCAAAATGGTATTTCAATAAAATAAAATAAAAATTAGTATTAAGGGTATAACCACAGTAACCAAACTATAATTAAAGAATTACAAGAAAACATTTTAATGATTTGGGGATATATAAGGCCATTCCAGGCATGAGCCAAATCTAGGAATCAAAAAAAAAAAAAATAAGTCAGGGACAGCAGA